GAATTTTGAAAAAAAAAAATCTCTATTTTTTTGGTCTTAGCAGCAATACCTAATAAACTAAGATAAGTATATGCGCACTCACTAGCCCCGCGCCGTGCGCATTTGTTCACAGCTTGCATAACCGTCTGTCAAGAAATATACATAAGCGCTTGTAATTTTTTTTTTTCGGTAGCGTAACTTCGGACCAAGTTAGTCAAGAAATATTGCGACTTATCTGGCCCGTTTATTCGGCTGACGAGACTTCAAAAAATTTTTAAAGTTCTTTAAATTTTTTATTTTTTATTGTTCGGTAACGTAACTTAAGGCCAAGTTAGTCGCGACTTATCTGGCCCGTTTATTTTTTTTTTTTTATTTTTTTTTTTTTTATTCAACCATATCAATAAAATTTACAAATTTCATCCTAAATTGATATAAATTGGTTAGGTGTCACTCATATAGTTACAAACTAGTCAATGGAGTGACACCTAAAAAACATAAAAATTTCACGAAAAAATAAATAAATAGAAAGAAAAAAAAAAAAAAGGAAACTGAAAAAAACAAAAAAAAAAAAAAAAAAAAAAAAAAAGGAAAAACTTAATATCTGTATATATAAATAATAAAGAAAAGAAGAAAAGATTGTTAAACAAATAATAATGATATATGTAATAATAATAGTAATAATACAAAATAATAACAATAACAATAAAGTACCAATAATATTTAGAATATTATAATACAATATAAATTGTATGTACAAATCATAGATGATAATTAGATATAATAATAACATAAAATGTAACATTAATAACACAATAATAAATAAATATAAGATTGGTAAATAATAAATAAAATAAAAATCAAACCACAAGACAACTATAGTACAGAGAGAAATTATAAAGAAATACACTCCAACAATATATTTTTAAATTGAATTCTGTTGAGCAGTAAAAAATTCGTAACAAGTGGATATTTTTTCTTAGACTTTTTTGTTAATGCAGGAATACACTGGTTCCATTGAGAGATACATTGTTGTTTTATGGAAAACTTACCATATTTGATTGTGCTGAAAAAAGAATAGTATAGCTTACTATTTTCTGTATTCCTGGTGTGATGATTATGAAATTCGTTTGTTTTAATAAAAAAATTTGAAAAAGGGCTTGGTAGTTTATTTTGGAGAAAGTCAAACACAAAAAGACAATTGTAAAACTTTACAAGATTATGGAGTTTTAGGATTTTTAGTTCAGAAAATTTTTTTTCGATATTAGATCTCATTGGGGAAAACGTCATTATTCTAATAGATGCGCGTTGTAAACTAGCAATGTTGTTAAGTAAAAAGTTTCTTTTTTGACCCCAAACAATACAACAATAGCAAAGGTGAGAAGAGAATAAAGAAAAATAAATCATTCGAAGAGTTTGGATAGGAACATAGTAACGAATTAGAGAAAGCATACTGTTAGCTCGTGTAAGTTTTTTTTTTAGATGATACAGTTGATTATACCAAGATAGGTTTTCATCAAGATATATTCCAAGATACTTTATATATTTTGATGGAAAACGTTTTTTACCGTTAATTTTAATTTTAATATGATCAATAGTTTTTTGAGGGGAATGAAAAATAATGTATTCAGTTTTATTGACATTCAAGGAAATACGGTTACAATTTAACCAGTTACATAAGAGATGAAGATCTTGATTAACTTTTTTACAAATAGTCGTGAGGGATTTGTTGATATATAAAAGATTGGTATCGTCAGCATAATGATGTATCATAGAATTTTTTAACGAACAAGATAAATCATTTATATATAATAAGAACAACAACGGTTTACAGTGGGCCAGTAGGTGGACAAAACTAAAAAAATTTATGTCTGAAAACTGAAATTCTTTTTAAAAAGTTTTTACTTAGATACATTGAGGACCTTAAAAATAATTACAATAAATTAAAAAAATATATATTCTCAACAAAAACTCATTTCAAGTAAAATTTTTGCAAAAAAAAAATGGCGATAAAGTGAGAAAATGTAGTTTTTAAAAAAGCAAAAGTGTGTAATAAATTTTTAGTATATTGGTTAACTGTTTTTATTAACATATCAAATAATTGTTAATATATAAAATTTATAAAAAAAAAAAAGTTAAAAAAAAATTTTAAACCAGTTTTAGATATATTTTTTGGTAAAAATTGGACTTTTTTTTTAATTTTTTTTGAAAAGACAACAAGGAAAAATTTGTGCTCTATTTTGCCTTTATCTCTTATACATATTTTGAAGGCTATATGTATATGTTTTTATAAAATTATTAATTTAGCTGCTAGTATCTGCTACTTTTTTTAATACTTATAATACTTTTTAATACTTATACTTTATAAAATCAAAGATGTTTCTTTTTCAAGTTTCTTTTGTCGCAAAATAACAAGTATATATATATATATATATATATATATATATATATATATATATATATATATATATATATATATATATATATATATATATATTTTATATATATATATATATATATATATATATATATATATATATATATATATATATATATGTTAATACAACTTTTTAATGTTTATATTATTTTAGTCTAATAATATTATTATTAGTAATATGTCAACCATCACAAGATATCAAATTCATCAATTCATAAGACAGCATGGTTTATCTATGTCTAATGAAAAAGACAAACTTTATGTTTACAATTTTATTCGTGAATACTGTTCTGAATTTGATGCTCAGTTTGTAACCTTTTTGTCCAAGTATCGTAAACGTTGGTCTTTAAGTAAAAGAATTGATGAAAACTTTATGAAACATAATTCAGTATGGCTTCAAAAAGACTTTATTAAGTCATTTAAAAATCAGGATAATAAAACTGAATCTATAGTTAGTGGTCGACCTGTAAAATTATTTGATGATTCATCAAATAAGACAAAGAGTCGTAAAGTAGCAGCTATGGACTTATTAACTTGTTCATCAAATGAACTGTTGTATGCTAGTAGTTGTAATCTTTTTAAAGATAGCAGAAGAAAGGATGCAAAAGTAGTTCGAAGTTTATCTATTAAGCAACCTTTTGATACAGAACATACTCAAAACACTCTAAATGAAGCTCAAGCACTCATATTAGATATTGATATGAGCAAATCTGATTACCAACGCTTGAGAAATAATGCTTTGAGCAAAGGTTGTAATCTCTATCCTGCTTACAATGATGTTCGTGCTGCTAAAGAACAGTGTCTTCCTGAAAAACATTATGGACTGTAAATGATTTTTCAGCAGAAATAAACTTTCAAGCATTAGTCGATCATACAGCAATACGCCTAATACAGTTGCAGAAACAAGTTATTGATTCAATGAATGATCTTGAAAGGTTGACTTTATATTCTAAAGTTGGGTTTGATGGATCAACTAGCCAAAGGATTTATAATCAAGTAACAGTTGAGAAAATAAACAGAGATCTTTTAGAAGAAGCTAGTTTGTTTATTTCTTGTTTTGTTCCACTTCAGTTGTTTGGATTCATTAATGATAAAAAAATAATAATTTGGTCTAATCCACATCCATCTTCAACTTTATATTGCAGACCAATAAGATTTTCATTTAAAAAAGAAACCATTGAAGTTTTGAAACAAGAGAATCAGTTTATTAACAATTCAATTGCAAATTTGTCTTTAACATTTTGTGAAAACTTAACAATACTTCATAAAATTAAAATAACGATGGTGGACGTTAAAGTTGCTACAGCATTATCTACAGCAACTACATCTTCTCAGTGTTGTTCTGTTTGTGGATGCAGCCCAAAAAAAATGAATGATCTTAATGCAGCTAAAAATATGCCATTGACAGAGATAGGTCTCTGCTTCGGTCTTTCAACTCTCCATGCTTGGATTAAAAGCATGGAATGTCTTCTTAAAATTAGTTATAAATTGACAGTGAAAAAGTGGGCTACAAGAACTATATCTGAAAAGAAAATTATTCAAGAACGAAAACAGAAAATCCAGATAAGGTTTCGTGATGAAGTTGGACTGATAATTGATATGCCAACATCTGGTGGCTCTGGGTCTTCAAATAATGGAAACACTGCTAGAAAATTTTTTCAGAATGCAGAGAAGTCTGCTCAAATTCTTGAACTTGATGTCAGTATGATAAAGATGTTGCATGTGATTTTGTGTACATTGTCATCTAACTTTCTAATTGATTCTTCACTATTTAGAGAATACTGCTACAAAACAGCTGAGAAGTATGTAATCTTTTATCCATGGTATCATATGCCACAGAGTCTGCATCACATTCTTATTCATGGTTGGCAAGTTGTAGAGAGAATGGCTTTGCCTATTGGCATGCTCAGCGAAGAGGCACAAGAAGCTCAAAATAAAAATTTTAAGAAATTTCGAGAATCATTTTCTAGAAAGTGTTCGCGTTCCAAAACAAACGAAGATTTATTAAGGCGACTAATGTGTTCTTCTGACCCTTTGATAAGTAGTTTGAGAAAACCCCATCATCCTAAGAAAAACGCTCTTCCAAATGGAGTTTTTGATCTTCTTAAAGAGGTTCCAATTTTTGACTAAGTGTCAATGACATAGTTTTGATTTTCGTTGGTGTTTAAGATGGTGTTTACTTTATAAGTATTTAATATTTACATAATAAAATAATGAATATAAAAGTTTGTTTTCTTATATATTCGTTATAAAATTTTTTGTATCTCTAATTGCATAAAAACTTGCTTATTTTTATATGGTTGCTAAGGGTATCTAAACTACACAGTTAAAATTTAATTAACTGTTCCTGTAAACCTTTATAGTTAAGAGTGTTTTAAAAGTTTTTATTTCATTTTTTAAAGAAATTTTGAATTAAGAAAAAGTTTCAAAAAAAATTACCAACTGGTTTCTAAGAGCACATAACAGCATAGTAACACCAAAAATTGATAATTTTTTGTTTGTGTTATCATTCAAATACATAAAATAGCAATGTAGCATTAATATCAGTTTAGTTTATAACTTTGATATTTCGAGAAAGTCTTTTTATTTAGGTAACTATGCAAAATGCCTGTTGACATGAAATATAGGTATCCATGGCAACCAAATAAACAATCTAATGGTGCCATTAGATTTGTTATATGAAATATACTCAAGCTGCTAATTATGGGAAAAACCTGATAAATATTTTAAAAGTTATTAATTTTGTCCAGCTAATAATGATTTTGGCCCACTGTGCGGTCCAAGAACGGAACCTTGTGGAACGCCATATTTAATAACTTTATGTGTGGATTCAAATCCATTAATTGAAACAAACTGATTGCGATCCGTAATATATGAAGAAAACCAATGATTAGCAATACCACGTATTCCGTAGTAGTTTAACTTTTTTATTAGAATGTTGTGATCAACCGTATCAAAAGCTTTTTGAAGATCTATGAATACACCACAAGCAAAAGAACCACTGTCAATTGCACCACGAATCATTTCAGTAATGCTAATAAGAGCGTGAGAAGTGGAGTGATTTGAGCGAAACCCAAATTGTCGAATATGAAAACAAGCAGAATTATTTAAAAAGTTGTAAATACGAGAACACATAAGTTTTTCTAAAAGTTTGCTGACATTTGATAATAATGAAATTGGTCTGTAGTTATTACGTTCAAGTTTTGAGTCTTTTTTATGAATTGGGATAACGGAAGCAGTTTTTAAAATATCAGGAAATACACCGGTTGTGAATGACAGATTAAATAGTTCAGAAAGTACAGGAGAGATATCATTTGCAAGAGCTTTAAAAATAGGTATTGGAATGCTGTTAGGTCCAGAAGCCTTGCTGTCATTAAGAGAATGAATAATCGATAATACTTCGTTTTTGTCTGTAGGTTTTATGAACATTGAATTAAGATTAGGATTTTTAAGATATTTATTAAAGTCAGTATTGGATGAGTGGATCTTATTCTGTAAATCTTCTGGAACTGAAACAAAAAATGAATTAAAAGATTCCGAAATTTTAATGGGGTCGTGTATCATGGAGTTGGTAGAAGATAAGCATGAAGGAGATGAGTTAACTCTCGAACTAATGTTTAAAAGGTTCTTAATACCATTCCATGTAGATTTCAAATTTTTGGCATTGTCAGAGAAGAACTTAGAGTAATGGTTCTTTTTACTACGACGGGTGAGAGTAACAAGTAAGTTTCTATATGCTTTACAAGATTTTTCTAGATTGAGTTTGTTATTAGGATTCTTTGCTTTAAGAAATTTTTTAAATATTTTATTTCGCATTTTAATAGAAGTCAAGATTCCTCGTGTTATCCAAGGTTTGAGACCCCTTGATAAGCAACGATTGCTGACTTTTTTCAATGGTGCATGTTTATCTAAAAGAGAATTGAAACTTGAGAAAAACTCTTCAAATGACTTATTAGTCTTACCTTCGTTGACATTAATTACATTAATCCAGCTAATTTTTGAGAAATCACTACATAACTCGACGCAATTTATTTGTTTTAGATTTCGACGAAAAATGCAGCTTTTACGAGAATTAATTTTGGTTCTATAAAGAGGATGTATTAAAAATTGGGGCAAATGATCTGATATCGTAGAAGTAAAATTACCGGCAAAAATATTTGTAGAAGTTGCATTAGAAAATATGTTATCAATTAGAGTTTTGGAGTGATTTGTGATTCTTGTTGGCAATGAAATAAAGGGAAGAAAGTTATTTAAAGCAATAGTGTCTAAAAATTCAGAGACAGAATTATCTGAGTTTGCTAATAAAAGATCGACATTAAAATCGCCTATTAAAAAAGTAGTTTTGTTTTTTTCTATAGATAGCTTTTCAAAAAGTGGAATTAAATATGATTTAATAAATTCTGAAATATCCATACTAGGATGGCGATAAATACAGCCAATAATGATGTTTGATTTTTTAGGAATTATGATTTCCACAAACACAGATTCTAAAAGTTTTGGTTTAAGCATATTAAGATCATATCGAAGTTTATAAATTAATGTATTCGATATATAAAGTAAAGCTCCTCCAAAATAAGATTTTGTTGGAGTGTGCTCATAAACATAACCGGTAGGATTTAATGGGATAGTTGGTAAAATGTCATGTTTTAGTTTAGTTTCAGTTATGCCAATAATACTGAATTTATGATTAATAAGAGATAAAAGTGAGTTTAATTCGTCAAAATTTTTAACAAGAGAAGCAATATTTAAATGAAAAAGAGAAAAATTATTTTTGTCGATGTTAGAAGAGTTAAAACTTTCTATGTCCATATATTTACAATTAATAGGGTATTCTTCGAGGTTTACGTCATTGTCATTGTTGTTATTAAGTTGATGGGAAATAAAATCATTAAGTTCATTATAAAGATTAGACTGTACGGTATTTGGGAAAGATGATATGTTGTTTTCGAATTCATTAATATGAATCACTTTATCATTTATTGTTTGCAGGTGCAGCTCCTTATCTGATAAAGTACTGAATGGAAAAATTTTTTCCCTACATGAAATACAGAACCAAGATGTTTTAGAGTTTTTCAATATTCTAAATTCAATATCATTCAGACGACAACATTTTTTATGAAAAAGGTTTAGGCAATGATAACATTGAAGGTAGTGATGGTTTTTATTAATTTTCTTGAAGCAATCTTTGCAGTGAGTAGACATTTAAGTGGTACAGTTTATATAATAAAGTGATTGAATGAACTGAAATAAGGAAACAAAGAGTAATATGAACAGCAATATAACCAAAAATAATAAAAATAATAATAGTATTTATTAACAATATAAATATAATTCAATTGATAAAACAGTAAAACAAAAATAATATTTATTTAACAGTTAAAATAAATAATGAAAAAATACTATTAATATAGTAAAAGAAGAATAACGTAAATATATATTAAAAAAAAGTTATAATTGGTTAAATGATAAGTTGTAAGTATAAATTAAAACAATTTATATTAAAATAATAATAAATTATAAATGATTATAAGTAAAATATTATAGTTATAATAAGTGGAAAATATAATAATAAACTATTAAGTCTATGCTTAGTATTATAAGTTAATAAGTAAAACTATAGTAACTAAGCTAACAAACTATATAGATATATAAAAATAATAATAGTAATAATACTAGTAGCAATAATAACTATTATAATAACAATAATAAAAACAATAATAAGTATATATAATAATAAACAGTATAAGAAAAAAAAGAAAAAATTAATGAAAACAAGCAAGAAAAGCTAGAAAAAAAAAAAATAATAATATTCGGTTGACGAGATTTCAAAAAGTTGTTAAAGTACTTAAAATTGTTTTATTTTCATCGTTCGGTGGCGTAACTTCAGGCCAAGTTTGTCGAATTAAATTTAAATCATAACTAATTATTACCCCCTGATTAATTTAAAAGAAACCTTTTGTAACAATAAATCTTTGAATGTTTTAAATAATTTTTGATATGGCGTGCATTTCTCTACAATCTGTAAGGTATTTGCTTGAGAATGGATTTATTGAAGATTTACAAACTCTTTATTCAGAATTGTCAATAAAGATTAATCTCCTTCATAAGCCAGATCTTTATCAGTTGTTAACTGTTCATAAGTCAATAAAGAGAAATCTTTCTGTTGAGCGCGACATTCCTCAAGAGACAAGAACAACTATGGCGGTGAAGTAAGCTTTATTTTATTTATCCCAACAAGTAAAATAAAAAGTTACATTTAAAATTTGTAAACATATTATCCCTGCGTTCGTTCGTTTGAGAATGTGAATTTATATAGTAATAATATTATGAAATACATTTTTTTGCCTTGATCTAATTAGTTTAACTTTTTACGAAACTGATTATTTGTACATAAATGATTAAATTCATTTTTTTTTCCATTGAGCCTATTGTAAAGTTTTTTTTACTTAAAAATTTTTAATTGCCTTTTTTACAGATCTGAATCAACTGGCAATTGCTTATTTAGTTCATTTTCGATTTATCTGTGTGGTGATAACAGTCTGGCAATGGATTTAAGAATGCTGACAGCAATTGATTTATATTTAAATGCTTCTTTTTACAGTAATCATCCATCCTTTGTAAGCTTGTGCTCAAAGTATCCAAATGAGTTTTCATCAATTGATAATTTGTTAGCAGTGTCTGTATCCACACATTCTATAGACTCAGGAAAATTGAAAGATGACCTTGTTAAGGAAGAAGCATTTCATATGTGTAAAGATTTTGTATGGTCTGGGTTTCTTTGTGTTCTTGCTCTTTCAACTGTGTGTTCTACAAGAGTTCAGTGTTACTATAGAACAATTGGTTCTCTCCTAAAATATAAAATTATGTTTAATCTTAAAATTGAACCTCGTATTCTATGTTCATCATCAGATATTGTTAATTTGTTATTTTGTTTTGAGGGAATAAACCCTCCATGTCCATATAAACACAATCATTATGTGCCTCTTGTTTTCATTCCAGATAAGAAATGTTTGAAACGTAAAATCTGTAAAAAAGTTAATTTTACCAATCAATCAACAATTCATATGTTTGCAGAAAAATATAGTATAAATGAAGTATCATCTATATCTACCATTAATGATAAATCTGTTTCATGTACACTTGTTAACAAAAAGTGTATGTCTTCTTCTCATAAAAATATTGTTTGCAATTCTTTTATTGATTCAAAATCATTTTATCCAATTAATACATTATCTTCAAATCAAAAAAGTTCTAATACTAAAGACAAAAGCATCTTATTCACTGAAAATATGGGAGTTGAGTCTAGTTTAAAGAAATTATCAAGTGAACCCTGTAGTGAATTTGATATTGCATGTTTTCGTTCGAAGGCTTCTACTTTGAAAGATTTACAATTAAAAAATTTGATTCGAAATGTTTTTGTTCCTGATGAAACTTATTCTTTTCCAAAAACAAATAGGCGATCTTTCAAACTTATATGGTTAAAACAATTTTCATCGCTTAGCTATTCACCTTCTGAAGATGGAGCATTTTGTTTGTGTTGCGTTTTGTTTGGATATAAATACCCTTCAAAAGCTTCTAGATGTAAAAATTTGTATTCTCAGCCATTTAAATACTGGCCAGATGCTGTATGTACTTTTAATAGACATTATCATGGGAAAAAAGGAAACATTTATGAACATCACTCAGCTGTACAAAGTCTCCATTATAATACCTGGACCATATTTTCCACAGTTTTGAATACTATGAATGGAAATATTCAAAGTATAGATATTTTAATTAATAAAGAATATGAAAAGGAGATTGCTTTAAATCGCAAGAAGTTGCGTCCAATTGTTGACTCAATCATTTTCTTAGGCCAACTCAAAATAGCTTTCAGAGGTCATTGTGATGATTCTCAATATCATCCTACTATTGGCAAATATTCTTTAGTGGGTGGAGTAGGTAATTTTATTGTACTTTTAAACTACAGAATCAGAGGTGGGGATAAAGTTCTTGAACATCATCTTAATAGTTGCGCAAAGAATGCATCTTATATTTCTAATTCGTCACAGAATGAATTAATAAGTTGTTGTGGACAGTACATCCAGAATATTTTGGTTTCTAAAATAAAAGAAAATCAATTTTTTTCAATTATTGCTGATGAAGCATCTGACTGCTCCAATCAGGAACAATTGTCTTTAGTAATTAGATTTATAGACAAATCATATGATGTTAGGGAAGAATTTATGGGTTTTTTACATTGTGAATTAGGTTCAACAGGTGAAGCTCTATGCAAAACTATTTTATCTTCACTTAAAGATTTTTCGCTTGATATTTCCAATTGTAGAGGTCAGGGTTATGATGGTGCATCATCTGCTACTGGTCATGTTAAAGGAATCGCTAAAAGAATAAAAGATCTAAACCATAAAGCAGTGTATACTCACTGCTTTAGTCATCGTCTTAATCTTAGTGTTATAAATTCATGCAAGATACAAGAAGTTAGAAACATGATGGAACATGTAAAACAGTTGTCGTATTTTTTTAATTTTTCAGAGTCACGACAAAATTTATTAGAAGTAGCTATTACAGAACATTGCCCTCTTGCTACGAAGAAAAAATTAATTGATGTTTGTTGTACAAGATGGGTTGAACGCATAACTGGGTTGGATGATTTTGAAAATTTGTTTGTACCTATTGTTTTTTGTCAAAATGATGCAATAAAGTCAAAACTTGTTACAAGTTTTGACTTTATTGCATCCTTAGTGATAACTCGGACAGTACTTGACTACACAATTTCTGTTACATAAATGTTACAGGGTAAAACTTTTGATATCTGCGATGGTTTAGGTTCTATTTCAGCTTTAAAAAGTTATATCTCAACACTTAGAAGTTTAATAGATGATTATCACATAAAGTGGTATGCTTCTATTCTTTGTCTTGCTTCTAAAGTTGATGTTGCAGAAGCTAAACCAAGATTATCAAGTCGTCAAATAAATAGAAATATTGTTGCTTCTTCTTCAACTTCAGATTATTTCAAAAAATTGTTATCTATTCCACTTATTGATCACCTCCTAAGTGAAGTAAATTACAGATTTAGTGATGATGCTTTGGTAGCTTACGATGGCTTGGTTATTATTCCAGACAAAATGATTTCTTTTGTCTCTAAAAAGATTGACTGGAAAATTAGGTTCCAATCTTTTGTTAATTTTTATGCAACTGATTTACCATGTGCAATTTCTTTAAGTGCAGAACTTGATTTGTGGGAAAGATACTGGCTTCTGGAAAATATTTGCTTGCCAGATAACATTTCGAGTACTTTAAAAAGTCTTCCTAATAATGTATTTGAAAATATCAGAGTTTGCCTTCGTATTTTAGGAACACTACCTGTAACGTCTTCTTCTTGTGAAAGATCGTTTTCAGCCATGAAGCGATTAAAAAATTACACACGAAGTACTATGTCATCTGAGAGGTTGAACAATCTTGCTCTTATGCATATTCACAAAGAAATAGTACCTGATGTAGAAAAAGTTATAGACTTATTTGCACTTAAATCTCGGAGATTAAATTTTACAGATAAAATGTGTTAACCATTTAGTGTTTTTTATCCTTCTCAATACACCAAGTTATTTTTTTATATATTAGTATATATATATATATATATATTTTTTTTAATTTAATTTACTCTGAATAATGTTGTAAATTTTGTCTAATTTAATTTTACTCATATATATAATATATGAGTAAAATTAAGTTAGACATTTTATTATTATTAATTAAATTTTACTCATATATATATATATATATATATATATATATATATATATATATATATATATATATATATATATATATATATATATATATATATATATATATATATATATATACATATATATATCGTATATATATATATGAACTAGGGCACATTATTAAAATTAAATTAAGTTTATAAAGATAATAAAACTTCACGAAAAAAATAAAATAACTAAATCAATTAAATAATCCTTTTAAATAAATAAAACTATAAAAATAAAATAATTATTTTTTTAATTTAAAAGTTGTTAAATTATACAACAGTATCTTAAAGATACTGAATGAAGTGAAGTTTTATAATCTTTATAAATTTAAACATATCTAATTTTTATTGTATTCTTTTTTTCTCTTTATCTTTAGTTTTACCTGTCAATTGTTAATCGAAACTGGTACCGTTATGTACTATATCTTTGATATTTTAATTAGGAGCATTATATACATTGTCTATTATATACTTTTTCTCCTTTTTTTCAGCTCTTCTTTGAGATTCTACCTTGTGTGGTTATTTGAGTTGAAATATGGTTTTAATTTAGTAAGCTTTCATTATTTGAAGTTTATTTTATTGATCATTAGTCAACAGTTCAGAGAAAATAAACACATGCAACACATTAACGGTAAGCATAACTTTGTTTACTAACATTAATATTATAATTGTTTAACATTATATAACATATCTATCAATGAAATAAAATAACAAAATGGGTTTTTATGGTTAGTTATCATATTATTGCTATTGTGTTAATGCATTTCTCATAGTACGATAGTCATACTAATAAATTATATTATAATTTTTTTATAATCATGGTACTAATGCTATTGCAGTGATTTTCTTTTACAAAGTTGTTGGTCTATTTGCATGACACCTGGCTATAATGACCTTGCCTATTTAAATAATGATTTGTTATACTTCATACAAATGTATTATTTATGGAACGCAATAATAATGTCCACAAAATATTTTAATACCACACTCAATATTTTATTTTTGTACATTTAATGGATCCTTGCTTGTTTTAATAATATATGTATATAACTTTATAATATTATTGCTATATCTTTAGCTATATCTTCAAGGGCAAAGCATTATTTGATCGTATTATAACTTGTGAAAAGCAGAGAGTACTTTTCACTTGGTACTTTTTAAATTAAAAACCTTCATACCTAGGAAAAAATGTTTTAATATTTTATTATAAATTAATCTTACTGTGTATTAAATTTGTAATTTGGTAATATGGTAGCTATTATATAGTGTGTTTTTACTTAGTTTGTTGTCTCTATTTTTAAAATATGCGACATCATTTGAGCCGCCTATTTTGAAGGCTTTGTAAATAACTTGTTTATTAAAGAAATAGGGTAGATGCCTTTTTTTGAACTCCGTTAGTATTTCACTTTCATCCCCCTAGTCCTTCCGTGGGAGGGGGGCGATGAAATCCGCAACCGACTTTTTTGACTAACCTCTTTAAAAAGCTAAACCTGCCCCTGTATATATATATATATACTTGTTTACATAGTTTTCCATGTTATTACAATTATACAAAAAAAAATTCTATAAAGTGACGTCTTTTTCTCATAAACCCTTCCCCTTCCCATTGTCCTTTTTTGTCTCTTTACCTCTCTTTTGCATGACGTCTATTATGTGGTAAGACCGTTAAGACTTCTTGAAGCACCTTAAATACCGCATTAAGCAAAAATTAACATATATTATTTTATAATTTTCATGTAAAAGCATTAATAATGGTATAATACTAAAAATTCTCAAGCCATTGTCACGAACTTCAGTCTGTTTCATAATCTCAAATGTTAATCTTGTTTAAAGATTGGTTCAATCAGTTTTGCAGCACTTCTTGTTACCAAGAAGTTTTCATTTTTATACTACCTGCTACCTACCTACTTTGAACCTACTTTGAATATTTTTTTGACTAAAACTTCGTTAAAGTTTTTTTGTTTAAGTGTTTAACTTTTTTTGCGTAATTATCTGATTTGATTTCTTTAACGTCATATATTTTGTTATACAGAACTTTTGAAAAAAACAAATAAATTTAGGTTTAAAACTTTTAAAAAACTTAATTTTTTTAAAGTTTTAAACCTAAAAATTCATTAAAAAAAAAACAATACAAAAATGCGCAGTAAAAACAAGAAAATGTTATATACTACATGAAAGGGTGCAAAACAAATTCTTTCAAGCTAAGATAGTGACAAAAACGTAACTATAACCGTTCCTACAGCTAGATAAACTTTTATTAAAAAACCAAATATTTCCTCAAAGTTATTTTACTTTTCGTAAACCTTTTACTATAACATGAAAAATAAAAAACTGGTTTAAATCAGTGACGGATCCGGAATGATTTGATGGGGAAAAAGAGGAAAGGGGTTAATGATACAAAAACTTAAAAAAAAAATAAGTTGATACCAAACTAAAAAAAAAAAAAGCTCCTTAAATTTGCAAAAAGGCCTCGATATAAAAAAAGTTTTTTTAATTCTTGGGAGAGAAGAGAGGGGAGATCCTCCCCCTGGATCTGTCGCTCTTTTAAATTAATTCTGATAAAAGTGTGCCGGTATTTAAAAAACTTCAAAAATTTTGTCTACAAAGTTTGTTTTGTGTTTAAATTGTCTTTGATTGTTTAATAAAACTCAGCACAAATGCAAATACTCAAATAACAACTATGTTCCTTTCAAAACTATATACGATTGAATCAAATTTTCATTAACTATTAGAGCACCCAATGTATAGAATAAGATGGTCAGTTATGTAATAAGATGGTCATTAATGTAATTAGATGGTCAGTAATGATATTAAAACAATTACAACTCTCGATCTTTACATTACACCTTGATGTTTAAACAAAAACTAAAATTATAAATAATAAGAAAATTGAGAATTATTTCTAATTTATGTAATGATGTAATCTTTATTTTATTTTGTATGGAAAGAATTTAAATCTTTATTATATTAAATCTATATTATAGTAAAGTATTTTATGAGAAAGTAAATTAATAAAATCCAGCGGGCACAGAACGGCTGCTGGACGTCACGGGGACGCCCTACGGACCATTAGACGTCGTATAGACGTCCTGCGAACGTTTGTGCCCGCTATGAATCAATAATAATAAATTTTAGATTCTTACCATTTGGATTTAAAATTTTTATTATTTTTAAAACTTTCATATAACCGTTATCTTTAATTCTAACAATATTTTTTTAAAAGTTAAAATGATTGTCTTTAAAGCAAATTGTTTTTAAATTGTTGACACGTCTTGACATAATTACTCTTTTTATTATTCAGAGTTGCCCTTATGTTAATCCTTTGGTTAAAGAGCATAAAAAGTTTATTAATTTATTATTTGTGACAAGCGCAAAAAAGAAATAAAGACGTCTTAACTGGAAGAATCTTTTACTACAGCTTTTCAAACAAATAAAATGAATTGATTGATGAATGATTAAATTTGATGAATGATTAAATTTGATGAATGATTAAATTTGATGAATGATTGAATTTGATGAATGAAAATGAGAACTCCATGCAAATTATTATTTCTAGCACAAATGACTTTTATAAATATTTTAAATAAAGATCTTGTAAAAAGACGTCTTAATAACACTTATGCAAAACATTTAACAATCATTGATTACGGTTAATAAATAGATTCTTTAAAATTATTATTAAAAACAATCTTTTCTTGCTTTTTTATTAGCAAAAATTATTATTATGTCATCTTACAACAGAGTCTTATTCAGTGTATTTATTTTCAATATGTTTGCTTGATAGACGCTCCTGTTCTGAAGTGGCCCGACAATCCGTTTTTTTTAAATCAACTTTAGTTTACTTAAAGGTTTTTACCTTTTGGTAAAAACCTTTAAGTAAACGACAGGGGTTGGGATTGCGTTAAAAAATTAAAATTAAAATTCATATCAATTGGAAAAAAAAGCTATAGCCCTCTTGACTGTATTTGGTTGAGAAAGCCTAAAGTATTTTCAGAAGTGAAAAATGAAGAATCCTTCAGATTATTAAGATACAAAATATCTTCTATAAAGTTTTCTTCTTTTCACAAGCTTCAATTTTTACCAGGTCTTGATCTTTTAACTAGATGAATAAGAATCTTAAATAAACAGTTCTCACAATCCTAGTTTAAAATTGAGTTTGTATATATATATATATATATATATATATATATATATATATATATATATATATATATATATATATATATATATATATATATATATATATATATATATATATATATATATATATATATATATATATATATATATATATATATATATATATATATATATATATATATATATATATATATATATATTGTTTATATATATATATATATATATATATATATATATATATATATATATATATATATATATATATATATATATATATATATATATATATATATATATATATATATATTGTTTACAAAATACAAAGTGGAAACAGAAGCTGCGCTAAAGCAACAAGAAAACAACTTTATAAACATCGTTAGTGCAAACACCAAAATCTTAAACGAGAGATTGGACAAAGTAGAAAAAAATATTTTAGAAAACGCAAAAAAAATATCAACATTTGCAACAGAAGCTGAAGAAATAAAAGTTAGTTTAAATTTTCATGAGGAACTCATTGAAAACAAAATTAAAACTGCGTTAGATTCTTTCATAAAAAATAAATCTACTCACAACGAAATTCAAAATAACAACATTGAACTCAAAAAAATAAACAGCAAGCTAAGAGAAATAGAAGATAGATCAAGAAGGAACAATCTAA